AGAGGGGGGGGGAGGGGGGGGAGGGAAATGGAGTCGGAAAAGGGGAAGAGGGGGAAGGTCGGGCGGGCGGGCGGGGGTGTCTCGCGCAGCAAACCCTGGGGGTCGGGTTCCAGGGCTAAACAAGCCGGGCAAGGCAGGACAGGAAGGCAGTGAGGCAAGGGGGGGACGGGGCGGGAATGGCGGAGGCGGGTGGCGGTGTGTGATGTTGCTGTCGGCCATGTGTCTCCGGGGGCTGGGACTGGGTGCGTGTAGGCGGGTAATCAGACACTTATGAAAGGTGGGGACGAAAGGTGTAAGGGGGGATGCTGAGGTGTCGGGACGTTGGTTCCAGGGAGCACCTTTGTTTCTGCCGGTTCTGGATATGGATCTGGATCACGATATCTAGTTGGGATCTGGATCTAGGATTGGGATTGGGATTGGAACTTCCAAACTCGTCGTCCAGATGACGAAACAATCGTCCAGATCTACGGACAGATGTTGGCAGATGTAATTGTTTGCCCCGTTATTTATCCCTCCATCCCACCATCCCTCCATCCATCCATCCATCCATCCATCCATCCCTCCATCTCTTTACGTGCTTCAGGCCGCGAAGGGCTTTGCGGACTCGCGGCAGGCGGAGATTCGCCGCTCGATGCAGCGAGCCCGGGGCATCACCGTGTTTGATGACTCGGATGTGCCCGAGTACGGCTCTGACGTGGCCGACGATGACGTGGCCTCCATTGCGACAAGTAAGAGCACGTCTCGGCACCCCCCTGCCGCAGCAACCCCTTCTTCCTTACTTTCACCCCCCTTTTTTCTCCAACGCAACAACCCAACCGCACCTGATTGCGCCAACCGACCCACCAGGGCGCCCTGCTTGCGAGTTGTGGCTTTCCGAATCCCGTTACCGTTACCGTTACCGTTACCTTTGTATGGCTCCCTCGGTGCCTCCCCTTCCCAGGTATGAGCATCAACACGGTGGATGGGAGGCCCAGGAGGCGCCGCCGCCCCAGCGGCCCCATTCAGAAGGGTGAGTGCGTGCACCGCCAAGTGTATCGTGGGGCTCAGGGTTTTGATGCGTGGCTAGAAGCTAGACGGGGGAAGAGGAGAGGGGGAAGGAGGGGGAAGAGGAGGACGGGGAGGACGGGGGAAGGGGAGGAGGACATGTGTGTATAAGCAAGCGCTTGCTGTGCTGCCGCTGCTGCCGCTGTTGCTACCAGAGCCTGTCTCCGGGGTCAGCGCCCAACCGGGCGGATGTTGCGGTGCTGGTGATGCGGACCCTTGCGGTAGTCCCGGAGCCCTTGTCTTTGCCGAGCGCCTTTGCGTCCCCTGCGTTGCATCACCTTACCGTCCCGCCTCCCACCCTCCACCTCGCTGCGGCCGCAGTGGAGCCCGTGGTGCCCGGCATTGCCTGCCAGACAATGGAGGAGGAAATGCCCTCGGCTGAGGTGCGCGGTACCGCCTGGTTGGCGACTGGCAGGGGGGGGAAGGGGGAGGGGGAACAGAGCGGGGTAGAGTACCTCTCTCGGGGGGAAACCGCGGTCGCGGGTCGGGGGTTGACGTTGATGGGGCGCCCTGTGAAAACACGGTGCCTGCGGGCAGCTAGGTGTATGGGGGGGGGCGGGGGAACGGCATTGGCCTCAGCCACAGGTGGGTGGGTGGGTGGGTGGGTGGGCTGTGGTGGTGGTGGTGGGCACCCGGTGAGTCCAGGGGGGAGCATGAGCAGGCGTGAGGGCGCCAAGGGGATGTCAGGAGGGCCATGCCTCCCAAACCGAATGCAAATGGGGAGCGGACTGGCGAGGCCAGGTACCCTGTTTGCCCGGCGGTGTGATTGGCTTGCTGCTTGCCTGCCCGCCTGTTTGTCTGTATGTCTTGCTGTCTATATGTATGATGGACCTACCGGTGCCTGTCTGTATGTGTATATGTGTCTCTGTCGACGGTTTTCTGTTCAGGAGCTGCGTATGCGCGAGGAGGCTGAGTTGCGGGTGCAGCAGGAGGCGGCGGAGGCCCGCAGGTTGTTGCTGACTGGCAATGGCGGCAAGACGCGAGAGCAGGTGCGTGTCCTCTGTGTGCCCCGGGTGTGGTGCCGTGCCTGGGTGTTTTTGTGTGTGTAAGAGGGTTACAAGTATCTGACCGGGCCTGACACTGGCCAGGGGCTGCTGCTACTGTGTACGTTTGTGTGTAGTTGATCTGATGCGCGATACGGGAACAGGCCGAAGTGTATGTGTATGGGTGTATGTGTGTGTATGTGTGTATGTCATGATGCTAAGTGAACTGGCGCCGTAGTGCACCGTTTCCATGTGGGTTGGGCTGACGGCTCGCTGACAAGTGCAGAGCGCAAGGCCTCATATGCACCCACCCACTCACTCACTCGTCAGTTAGCTCTGTACCAACCAACCAACTTTCCAACCAACGTACTTTCCAGTCTACCAAACCACCCGTCTATCTACCCAATGTTTAATTACCACATCCAGCTTGCCTACTTGTACATTACGCACTTGCCTACACCATCTGTCTTCATATCTCATATCTCCATTTTGTGAACCCCGCCCAATACAGATGCTGGATGACTGTCTGCGGGCCGCGGAGTCGGCCATTGAGTCCCTCAAGCCGCGCCCCCTTGGCGCCATAGCCCCCTCCGAGGCCCCGGACTCACCCAACACCTACTTTGGTAACGCCTCCGTGGACACAATGGAACACAACTGGAGGCCGAGCGGTCGAGGACCTGGCTCACAGGGCGGCCGCTCGTCCGTTTTCGCACCTGTACGGCCGCCTGGCGGCGGCGCCGCCGCCGCTGGCGCCGCCAGTGGCCCTCAGGATTCGCCTAAGCGGGGTCCCCAGGACTCGAGTTCTAGGAAGCGGGGGACTTCGTCTGTGGCGGAGACGTACGGCAGGGGTCCAGAGCCGTTCAGCCTGGAGAAGTTGACGGCGGAGCCGTCGGTGGTTTCGGAGAGCGACATCGTGACGGGTGACGTTCCCAAAGGTAAGAGAGCGTATGTATGTATGTATGTATGTATGTATGTATGTATGTATGTATGTATGTATGTATGTATGTATGTATGTATGTATGTCCATGTGGAGGGGGCAGGATCATGGGACAGGACCTGAGACGCGGCTGTGCTAGGATGTGTCAAGATGTATACATCCGCCCATTCCATATTCGTAATTGCATAACATTACCGCCATCAAAAGCACAATCACCGTGACGACTTCATCGCGCCGCACGGACTCACGACCTTGGTGAACGTCGATATCCCCCTGTGTGTCGCCCATTGTCCAACTGACTGCGCCGCCGCCGCCGCCGCCGCCGCTTGTGTCGTTGTGTGTTCGCCCGCGTAGCGAGTAGCTTTGGCGGCGTCAGCACGGGTATTGGGGGCCTTGTGGATTACGAGACGGCCATGGCGCGTCGTAGGGCCGTTGCGGGTGCGGAGGTTGCTCTGTGCCGCTCCAACTTCATTCCCAAGAGCGAGGTGAGGCCGCTGTGAGGGGGCCCCGCGGACAATGTTGGGGGGTTGTATGTAAGGGTAAAGAGCGGCGCCGTGTGGTCGGAACTTGTGTAGTGTGCACAGGTTATGGATGGGTTTACGGCAGCGTACGGCGGGTGCGCAGTGGCTCGTCGCTTTGGGGGTAACTGCCCTTGCCACCTCCTCCCATTTTAAGTGCCGTATTCTTAGCAACTTTCTCTCTGCATTTTAACCATGTTGCAAGTATATATACGTATATGTAGTATATATGTATGTATGTATATATATATATATGTATGTAGATATCTGTGTGAAGAGGCCACATCCTTGCAGCCACGCAGCGGAATCACACCCTTCATTCCCCATCTGCGGATGTGGCCTCGTCTGCAGGTAATGAACCTCTTCGTCACGTACTGCAACCTGGGAGGCCATCCCGAGCTGATTGAGATGCTGCAAAAGGCCGTGGAGGCGCCCGTGTCCACGGTAACAGTTTCGGCGGTATCTAAAGCGGTCCGCGCCGCCACCCGCAATGCCACCACCGGCCGCATGGATGTGGACTCGGAGGCTACCAGGCAGCGGATTCGCGGCACGGCTTGGCTGCTGGGGGTGAGTTTTGTTTAGTGCTGGGCTGGGTTGTGGAGGCGGCAGGGAAGGGGGATTTGTAGGGTAGGGTAAGGTAGGGTAGGGTAGGGTAGGGTTGGAGTCGGGGCATGTGCATGCACAGATCGTTTTCGCTACTGGGCGGTTGCTTTGCGGTTAAGAGTGCGTGTGTCGCGAACTGCGCGTGCAGCACCACACGCACACCCTTCTCCGCTCCCTCGGCTGTCTCGCAACCCCTTCCACCCCTTCCCTTTCCTCCGCTTCGACCCCTGCCTACCTACCTACCCACCTACCTACCTACCTGCCTACCTACCTGCCTACCTACCTACCTACCTACCTACCTACCTACCTACCTACATACCTACATACCTACATACCTACCTACCTACCTGCTTACCTACCTGCCAGGTGACCTGGCGGCGCATCACCAACGAGACCTACACCTCCTTCCTGTGCCGGGTGCTGGGATGGCCGGCGGATTTGTGCAACACGCTGAACCGCACGCGAGCCACGCAGGTTATTGCGCGTGCGCTGGTTCGCGGCCATGACATGACCAGCGTCCCCAGGCCTGGTGCACGGGGGCACTGATGAAAGACTCGGATTCGGAAAAGTTGCAGACAGACAGAAAGACAGGCAGCGGAGACAGGCATCGAAGAGGGTTCCATTGCAAGAGGATGGCATCGCGGAAGCCAGCCGTTACTGCGTGTGGTCGTGCGGCACACGGTTTGCCATGCTGCAGAGCTTATATTTAATGCTCTCACTCCCTTTGGATGGTGTGTTTGCCTTCTTTGGCCTGCTGGCTTTGCACCAGTTTGGCTGTGGTTTAGCTGTGACTGGGTTCGTGAGGCTGTAGGGGGGAGAGTTGTGGCTTCCGGTCCCTCCTTGCTGAAAAGCTGATGCTAGGACGCCAGACGGCGGTTAGGCACGCCGTTGGATTTATCGTATCGCTCGCATCTTTGATACCTTGATGCCCTTCATGAAAGTCGCGTTGACAGGAAAGACACCGTGGATGACTCGAAGTTTGGGTGGGCAGAAGTTTGAGCGGTGGCAATGAGGAGAGGGCCCAGCTGGGAAGGCACCACTGCAGGGGGTATCGTCCCGTTTGGGGGCCCGCATTAGCTGCTAGGCGCTTTGGGCGCCGGCTCTGAGGCAGGATGGCGTTTTGACTTTTGGTTTAGGACAACCCTTAAGATTTTTACTGCAAGGCGTGGCGTAAGGCGGGAACATATTCTGGATGGAGGGCCTGTCGGAGAGTTGGGGTCGGCCACAGTAGGCATTGCGATATTGCCTCCAGCGGGGGCACATTACCATGTGGGCAACGGAATTCTTTGCCGTAGCCAGTCAGTTGCCAGTACGTCGCATTAGTCGATCGTTTGTCGAACGCGCGTAGGTCGAATGCACGTAGCTTCCAGATAGATTTCTCGTGTGCCAATATTCGTGGCACATATATCTATGATAACACTAGGACCGTCCCACATCCTCGCGCGGCTCCGCCGACTTGTGTGGGTTGGGGGACCATTCAGGCAGGAGCTAAAGAAGGGTTCAAGGAGTCGGTTTGCGTTTAGTTTATGTGATGCATGAAGGACTGCGAGCGAGCGTGCGGGGGATCGTACGACACATATACACCGAGTCATTTGGCTTGCGAATTCCGCGCCAGGTGTGTAATGTGCTGGTCAATCGATGCGTGTGTATGTTCAGCCCAGCCAAGGAGGAAAGCAGTCGTGGGTGCATGGCTGCGTTGTTCATTGCGGCATTGTGTGTTTAAGTAGTTTCCGTCATGAATTCGTTTTCGTCACACACACAGAGGAATAGCTGCGGAGTCATGAGGCAGTGGTGGCAGAGGTTTTTAGGTCAATGCATGAGGATGTGTTTGCAGGGTGTGATGTGAGCAGAAATGTGTAGAGGAGGTGCTTCAAGGCGGGTGTGGATGTGCCCGTGTAACGGTTACATCACGGTGCTCTGCTTGCCGCGGTTTCTTTTGCAGCACAGGTAGGTACCGCGGCTCGGGAGTTATCTCCCCGGAGGACGAAAGAGTATTCCTTACTACAGCATCTGTACTGACTGCTTGACAGCGGTGGTGTCGGTATATGTGTTATTGGATTACATTTTGGGGGTGTTCATGCGCCCCCTGGGCCTTACCACGACCCTATCGCACCGTTCATCCGCTGCACCGCATTGCAGCGTCCAAAAACAGGGCCTTTATTTGCACCAAGTTATTGATCCGTGCCCGTATCCGCGCTGTCCAAATTTGTTGTTTCGGTACGCGAGCACGGGCCGTCGTGCATGGCCATGACCTATCTTTGTAGGCCGCTCCCTTGTGTGGCGGCCTCGCGTGCGGGCCAAGTAAAGCGGACTCCCGTGGCATCAACCAGCCCACGTTGCGCTGCGCAACAGCCTCACTGGACTGGACAGAAACCGTTAGCCTGCCTTCTCGTGGAGGGAGAAGGTAGGCGGCTGATGTAGCCGGTGTTTGTCTTTTGAAAGGCTGGAAAGAACGTTGCTCTCGTTGCTTCTTTTGGTGACGGATCCTGACCGGTTTATGGAGGAAGCCACCTGCTCTACTATGGAGGAAATGGAAACGCTGTCCGGTCTCGCCGGAATTTGTTGTCGAGTTGGGCGTTTTCGTGGAGCAGCAAGCTGGGTATTGCGGTAGAATGAATGCACCCGTGCGTGTGTACGTGTATGGTTTGCGTCGCGACCTGGTCGGAAACTCTAGTAATATGCCGCTCGCGTATTGCAATATAAAAGCTGGACGACGCGCGATTGACAGATACATCTGACTTCTTTAGCTGCTTACTTTAACCGTCTCCCGCAGAAAATGTAAACAGGTGAAAAACGCTTTAACTATTATCATTGATAATTTATCAAATGTCTCCGCTGCCTGATGGATGAGCCTCTGAATGTTGTACTGCAATACGGTTAGTTACGGATGCTCAGCCGTCCTCCCCTAAGACAGTGCATTGGGGTGTACAACAGGGAAACGAAGGAAAGAGGGAAAACATGGGGGAATACACTGGGACGGGCTCAAACAAAGGTAGGTTGAGGTTTCAAGCTCGCTCTACACAAAAAGGCGGTATCGTTGAGCGGCAGAGAGCACGGCCGAATCGAGGGCAGAGGGGGCCCCCGGCTCCAGCCGCCGCCGCCGATGCGTGTGTCCTAGTGCGAGGTCAGGAGTAACGTGGTGACATGCGTGATCCCTGCGTGATGGGTTATCAAGACGTCAGCGAACAGCTACAAGGTGAATGGATTTTGCCAGGGCCCATGAAAAGAACAGACAAAACATGCCTAACATGTTTTACGCCAAATCGAGATGTGACCATGGCCCTGGCCCAATAATTTTCGGCCTCTCATTTTCTGGCCTCAAAAGCCCTGCTAGACCAAGGGTGTTGGACACGCAACTGAGTTGTCTTGGGAGACGATATCCAGCAAGCTGCGATAGCGCACAAGCAGACGTGTCTAGCTACGGGGCAAGTAAACCACGCACTCCCTCGTCAAGTATACAGCACGACTACGAAACAGCACTGTACAAATACTTAAGCCAAACGCGTACGTGGGCACACGTCCACCTGCTATTCCATGACCGCCCATCAGCAACATCCAAAGCCCCGAAGTGAAGAGAAAAAGAACTCTGCCGGTACCCTTATTTGCGCCCATGCGTCAGCGTTGATTGAAAGTTTCTAGGGAATGCCCCCTGGGTTAAAAAAGACCGGCACCTCGGGAGCACCACCACTGCTATACCCAGAGTCAATGACGGGGAGGGCCGGTATCGTGGGCCGCCCCGCCCCACCAACAGCCTCCTGATATAGCACACGTATGTACACCCTGACCCACTCTACCGCCAAATAATCCGGCAACGAATCAGTCGCCAGCGCTCTGCACACGAAAATACCGCAAACGAACCGAACAGCTTGCTGGCTTGTATCCAATCCACGGCATCGCCCTCCCTTATGAGTTGTCCCCCATATCCACACCAGAAGATGTAGATGGTGCCACACGCTACGACCGCTGCGTTCCCTTGGCATGCCTACCCCCTCATGACAGGAGTCTACGAGAGCTCCAAAGAGCATCCCAAGTCCAAGACGAAGTCAAATGCGGTATGCGCAGTTAAACAGGTATCAGGACGTCAAGGCGGGTCATGGCGCATGCGGCAAGGCCCTTCACACATAAGGCGTCATGGACATAAAGTGTAATTGGCATTAGCAGTCGCTCACGTAATGAGACACGCGACATTGTTTCCCGTCAGCTGGCCTGGTTTGATCAGTGCGACAGCACGCACGCTGCTGCCCCCTCCCGCTGCCCGGTTAAATACTTGAAACTAAGTCAAGGACACACTCCGCAGCATTACACCATCCTCCACCGTATGACTGTAGGTCTGCTGTAACCAGGTCGGTCATCCTGTCAGCGAAACACTCTCTCTCGAAACCCGCTCTATCCTGCACGCATAACTACGGAGGTTCCACGACGTAATTGCCACACACGCCTCCTTAATGAAAAAAGCCAATAATAAGGGCTCTCAGCTCAACCGTTGGTCTGTGTGTCCAGAGCCTGTGACCGCGGCTTATGTGTCTGCTAGGCACAAAGGAAAGGTCGAGGAAGGACTACATCCGTATACTGGCGCAGGCCCAGGCCCTATCAATGCAGAACCCCATGAAGCGCGTCATTCATTTGTCATTTACCTGTGTGTCAAAACGAAGTTAAGGAAATGCACCACGTAGGGACTGGTAACATCAAATGGGCCCATGGGAAAATCGCCGCTATCCTCTTCATCAGTAAGATGAACTTTCTTCACCGTATGGGTGGGTATATACAACTGTAAAGCGTCCCTTTGTCCGGTCCAAGCGTGTAATGCGCACTACTTGTCAACGCTCACACCGCACTCTCGCTCGAACCCACTCGCTCGCTCGCTTCAGTCGTTGCTATTTCTTCTTCTTCTTCTTCTCTGTCCTTCGTCCCCTTTTTGTCTTTTTGACCAAGTGGTCTTCCCTAGGAGCGGCCAGCACTGCTGCCACCGTCCAGCAGACCTCGCGTTCCCTTCGCACGAACACTGACGACATACGGGACCGCACCACCCGGCGCCAGTTTCCTATATGGGTAAAGATCAGGGGACCCCTTGAAATTCTTTTTTAACTTCCCCTGATAAATAGAGCATTCAGAAGCCATCTACATCCACACACACGCGACCACCACGCCACTACAAACCAGTGCAGCTCAACCAGGAGCTCCGTTCCTTCCGCCCTATATGAACAGGTCGTGCACACACGAGCGGCCATGCTACAGTGTTGATGAAGAAGTAACCTCACAACATATGTATTATACGGCCTGCGTGGATTCCCGCTTCGATACTCCTCATTCATCTCCATCCAACTTCCCGCCGTTCCAACTCTATGCACCGCATGGCCCTCGATTCCTGGACCCCTAACGCGTTTCACCCACAATCGACCAGATCGCACAACCGTAAACGAAACCTGACGCCCCGAGCCCCACCGAGCCTCACACTGGCGGGCAACCTGAGGGGTTGAAACCACCCCATTCGAGACTCAGAGTCCTGATCCCTACAGCCTACACGCTAGTAAGGGACCCCTGCGCTG